GTTTTTAAACAGTGGCTTATTTATGTTTAGATATGGAGTTGAGAACATGCTCTATCGCCGAGCCTTGTAGCGTGGGCTTGTAACTCGAGTGGGGGCAACAATGTTGGATTGTTCCTGATGGCTGAGCTTTGGTGGGCAAATGTCAGGTCTGCCCTATCCAAGCACGGAGTTGAGCCACGTGGTTCAATTGAAAGTTTGGGGTGCTTGGCTCCTAGAGTGGGACGGAATGCGTGAGGCTGGTTTCAGAGCAACAAATAGTCCCCTCTCCGTGCAGTCGAAGGATAACGGGTCAGTGCTCTTCAAGTTCAATAAAAACTAAATGGGCAATCTAATTAAACCAGCACTTTTTGTCTAGCTTTTAGCTAGAGTTGTGTACCGGTTGAAGTTATGGATACAACTTATCGGTTATTAATTTATAAACATCTTAAACCGTTAAGATATCAGTTATTGATTTAGTATGTTTTTCTCAAAATCTTAATACTGTGAGGGGAACCATACTTCATGACTATGAGGATGCTGAATGTTTATGACCAGGAAGTCAAAATAAGTTTTCATCTTATTGTACTTTTGTTCAAATTAATAATCATAAAAAGAGTCAAGTGAATGAGTTTTTTAAATTAAGAAATACAAATCGATCACTATGCTCCAACAATTTGCCTCTTTAAATGAGCTGGTCTTTAATTTTTGTAAAAAAATTATAGAGCGTTTTATTTTGGTCACCTTATTTAATTAATATTTTTTTTATATTTTATTTTGTACAATATTCAGTATTAAGTAATATTCCGGGTAAAAGTGTGTATGTATGTGTTTTTTTTTTTTTGCCTTTTCTGCTTCTGCATTTAGACATACATGACTGAAATTTTAGTTAATTTTAATATGTATGTGTATTAGTCATGTATGACTGAGCACAAACATACATGAAAATTCAAAGGGTGTTAATTGAGTTTGTTAGATTTTGTTGCTGTTTTGACAAATTAATTATTGAAGTTTGTTTTTTATGATAAATGAAATTTGTATTTTAAATTTGAGGTTATTTGGGGGTTGAAATTGGAAAATTAAAATTATTATTTCTTAGCAAAAAATAAAAATAAAATCAGACGCACACAACATGCATATTAACCATTTTTAACATGTGTCGGAAATCTAAATATCTATCTAAGAAAAAGGCATAGATTCCCCCTTGAACTTGTCCTAAAAAGTCAGTTACATTCTTAAACTATCTTGACGACCTATTACACACATTTGCTACTTATAAGTGAATTTATTTACTCCCTAAAACTGACGTGGCAAAAAAATAAAAAATAAATAAAAAACTGGCGCGTCAAAAAAAATTAAAGTTAAAAAAAGAATTAAAAAAATCAAAATCTTCCTTTCCCTCCCATTACCCTTTAGAAAAGGAATTAAAAAATCAAAATCTTCCATTCCCACCGATTACCCTCTTCTACTTCATTCTTTAAGTTTCATCACAACTTTTTATTTTTCATCACAACCTCAAAGATTCACAATGACGTGAGTGTAGTAGCGGTGTTGTTGGTTGTGATTATTTGTTGGTAATTCAGATCTGAAAGTGTGGAGCTCTTTGGAACTTCATCAGAGCCATGGTTGAAGCTTTGAGCTTGCCGACACACCTGTAAAACAAATCAAAAGAATAAAATCACAAAGGGATAAGGTAAGGGGGTCTGGTTTGGTGTTTGTTGGTGATTGATTTGGATTTTGAGTGGTTGTTTTTGTGGTGGTTGTTTGGTGGCTGATGGTTCGTCGAAAAAGAAGAATAAATGGCATTGTGGAGGTGGACTTATGGTGGTGATGGCTTGGTTGTTCTTCACCGGAGAAGACAAAGAAAATTCTTGTATAAATTCAAATGAATGATTTCTCCGATGAGATTAGAGATAAAGTGGGTGGGATTTAGTGATAAAAAAGATATAACTATTAGAGAATTTTAATAATGAATTAGTGTAAAATAGAGTTAACAAAAAGAAAGTTAATTAATAAAGAAAAGAAAATAAAAAGATTATAAGAAATTATAAAATTTGACGTGGCGATGATGTGGCAGTGAGTGTAATACACTACATGCTGTGAGAGTGGTGTTACACGTCTCAGGGCGGTATTAAATTCATTTTTAAATAGTAAAGGTGTGTAATAGGCAGTCACAATAGTTTAAGCATGTAACTGACTTTTCGTGACAAGTTTAGGGAGCAATTTATATGTCTTTTCCCTATCTTCTATCTATATATAAAAGGAGAAGAAAAAATGACACATGTCAACACCACAAATTTTCAGTATTTTAAATAATTAATATTCAATGATCAAATAAATAAATATAGACACATGTCAACACCACAAAAATAAAATAAAAATAAATAAATAAATTGTATATAAACTATTTAAAATACAAAAAAGTAAAAAAAAATCCCAACGGACAAAAAAGAGGAAAATGCATAAGTACCCCCCCAGCCTATGCCCAAAATCCCTGAGACACACCTAACCTTTACTAAGGTTCTATTAGCCCCCCCCCCCCCCCCGAACTTATTTTATATATAATTTTCTACCCCTTTTCTGCCTACATGGCACTATCTTGTGGGCCCAACGTGTGTTGACAATTTTTTCAAAGATAGTGCCATGTAGGCCGAAAAGGGGTAGAAAATTAATTAAAAAATAAGTTCGGGGGGGGGGGGGGTAATAGGACCTTAGTAAATGTTAGGTGTGTCTCAGGAATTTTGGGCATAGGCTGAGGGGGTACTTGTGCATTTTCCCGACAAAAAAGTAAAAAATGTTAAAATATGTTAAGATAGGTTTATGTATATCTTTCCACAACCTCCTTATTTATAGCAAAAAAATGTAGATGATAATAATAATAAATTTTCAATTTTTAAAAAATCATTTCATTAAATAGTAAAATATTTTTATTTTATTTTTAAAAATAATTTTGATGTAAGTTTTTACAAATAAACGAGAAATAATTTTAAATCAATTCCTTTTTTTCTTCCTAAAATTAAAAATTGGTTACTATTCTTTGAATTTGATTTTTTTTTTTTTTAAAGAATTTTTTGTCCAGTGGACCTTTTATTCATTCATAATTCTAAATAATCCACAAAACCAAATAGGAAACAAATTGAGACCAACCCAAATACTTGGTCGGTCCAAAATCTACAGTTTGGGGTTTTTTAGAAACCATCTACATCTTTGTCTCAGTTGCCTCTGGTTGGTGCCTCCATATCCTTCTCTGCTGAGCTTGCAGCTAAGGTAAGCATTTATCCTACTCTCCATTGTTACTCCATTACTGCATTTCTAGTTGTTGATGTCAATCCCGCTTCCATGAAGATCTCTTGAGTCAGGCGCATCGATGTCGGCGATGCAATTCTCAGATCCAAAACACCGACGATCCTAAAGGTCGCAACAGCATGGAGGTTAGTCGAATTTCTATAGTACACAACTAAAACTTGTACTATTTCTCCATTTTCGTCCATGTTCTTGTTGCGACTATTATGCAAAAGCTTTTACTTTATATCTAATCTTTGAATGAATGGCCTCTGTATACTCTGTTGTTTGATTGTTGATTGATCTAGTTCAGATTCTCAATGAAGGAACTTGAGCCTTGTCCATATTCAAAATGCATCTTCCTTTCGTAGGTAGACTAATGAATGTGTCGAACTAAACCACTCCTACTGCTCTTATCACTGCATTAGCTACGAAATCCGCTAAATTGTTCCCCTCCCTCAGTGTATATTGAATCCTTGCTTTGGTGATCTTCATTAATTCTCTACATTCCTCCACTTGTTCAACTCTTTCCCAGGGAACTTTCCAATAGTTCCTTAGACAGTTAACAATGCTGAGTGAGTCTGATTCCAGCCAAAACCCCTCTAATCCAGTCCTTTTACAGTATCTCAATGCCTCCAATATTGCCATGATTTCTGCTTTCATGTTGGTTCTTAAACCAATATCTTCTCCCTGTGCATATACAAGATTACCAAATTCATCCCTAATGCAAAATCCATAAGCACTTTGTCCAGGATTCCCTCTGCAAGCACCATCGGTATTCACTTTAAATTTATTTCTTGGTGGTGGAACCCATCTTATGCTCATGGCATGAAGCCTAGGTTTGTAATCACTAAGACATTTGACTATATTATTCCATTCTGTAGGGATCTTTTGTATCCAAGGGTATTTCACCTTAATTAAAAGATGTATCTGGACTTTGATATGCTCCTTCATCTGATTATGACTGCATTTTCCTCCATGTTTGATTGTGTTCCTTCTCCTCCACAGAGACCATATTATCATTGCTGGAACTGCTCTCTGAATTGCCATTAGTTTTATGTTAGCATTTTTGGTCCACCATGTTGTGATTACTTGTTGCAACTGCATGCCTTCTATGTTTATACCTGCACAATTAGCAAAATGCTTCCATAGCTTGTTGGCAATAGAAGTTGTTAGAAAAAGGTAGGTCATAGTCTCATATTTGCTTTCATGACAACACCAACATTTTGAGACTATCTGTATATTCATCCTTTGCAAGTTATCATCTGTAGCTACTCCTCTTTTCCACACCCTCCACAAGAAGAAACATAATTTAAAAGGCATTTTGGGATCCCAAATAAATTCAAAGTCTCTTCTTTTCTCCTTTTTCTTCATCAGACCCTCCCAGGCAGATTTCACACTGAATTCTCCATTTTTTTTCAACATCCACCAAGCTTAATCATTCATCCCCTCTGTTAACTCTGGCTTAACAGTATCTACTATACATTTTGTTATCTCTTCTGACAAATTATTCAGAAGCTTATGTTTATCCCAACTTCCATTATGAATGAACTTTTTGACCTCTATTTCTTCTTCCTCAGCATTGTCCTCCTCTATATAGTATAAAGCCCCTTGCTTTGTCCAATTGTCATACCAGAAACTTGAGGAACCATCTTTGATTTGCCACCAAATATTATGTTCCACCTCTTTCCTAATCTGCACCATCTTCCTCCAAATATGAGAACCCCCTAAGCTTTTGGCCATTATAGGATGGCTTTCTTGCAGTATTTGTTCCACATAAATGCACTCCAAAGTGAGTTTGCAGATACCCTGAACTTCCACCATAGTTTTGCAAAAAGTGCATTGGATAGGTCATGCAGTGATCTGAAACCCAAACCACCCTCTTCTTTTGGACTGCATAAGTCCTCCCATGTTACCCAATGCTTACTCCTTGTACCTGCAATGTTACTCCAAAAAAACTTTGCAAATATCATGTGTAACTGTTTAATAATCCCTTTAGGTGGATTCATTGTAGTTAAGAGATATACATGCATTGATTGGAGCACATGAGCTATCAAGATGTATCTTCCCCCTAATGAAAGTAATTTGTTCTGCCACAGTAATATTCTCTTTCTTACTTTCTTCAGCAGCTCTTCAAAATGATATGTTCTTCTTCTCCCATAAAATATAGGACATCCCAAATAGGTGAAAGGAAAAGTTCTCTGACCTATTCCTGTCACTTTCCTAATTCTTGAGCAGTCTGCAATGGGCACTTTCTCATGAAGATATAAGAAACTTTTAGATAAATTAATCAGTTGACCAGAAACATATTCATAGTCACTTAGCACCTTCATCATCTTGTTTATAGATTTGTGATGTCCAGAACAGAATAAAATGGTGTCATCAGCATATGGCAGATGGTTTATCTCCGGGCTCCACTTGGGCATACCATATCCTTTGTAAACAGGTTCCTCATGCAGTTTATTCAAACCCCTTGATAGAACTTCTGCAGCAATGATGGACAAAGTGGGAGACAATTGATCTCCTTGTTTCAATCCCCTGGAGGATTTGAAAAACCATTGTTTTTGCCCATTAATCAATATATATAGAATACCAATTATTAATTAATAGCCTCTAGACCATATCAATCACTCTTTCCCCGAAACCAAATTTTCTCAACACTTTTGTTAGAAACACCCAAGATACCCTATCATATGCTTTAGCCATATCCAACTTCACTACAATATTATGCAACTTGTTTCTTCTGTTTATGTCCCTAACAATTTCCTGAGCTAACAACATATTCTCAAAGATGCTTCTACCTTTAACAAACCCAGCCTGATTGTTTGAAATAATCTTGGGGAAAATTGGGACAATTCTTTCATGAAGCATTCTAGAGATTATTTTATTAGAAAAGGTACTTAGTCTAATTGGCCTTAAATCTGAAAAAGTCACCACTTTTTTCTTTTTTGGGTATAAGCACCAAATTAGTGTGAGTAACATACTTTGGCAACTCTTGTCCAGCAAAGAATGCCTACACCATTCTAGTGATATCATTGCCTATGATGTCCCAACATTTCTGAAAAAACAACCCAGAGAAGCCATCAGGTCCACTAGTGTTATCTCCATTTAAAGCATCCACCACTACCTTTACTTCATCTTCTGTTGGTGGTTTACTGATTTTGTCATTCTTCTCCCGTGTGATCAAAGAAGGAATATTCTCCAGCATGTTATAATCTCTGTATCCCCTCTCCTCAGTGAATTGCTTCTTAAAAACTTTGACAGCTTTTTCCCCAATTCTCTGTGTACTATTAATGATATCTCCTTGATCAGTGTATATCTCTTCTAAATTCATCCTCCTTCTTCTGCCTTTCACATAAGAGTGGAAGAATTTAGTATTTCTATCCCCCTCCTTGAACCAACTCAATCCTGATTTCTGCTTCCAATATTCTTCCTCAAGATTCAAGAATCTAATAAGTTTTGCCTCTGTCTTCTTCAATTCTGCCCTTGAATTTTCATCAGGCCTAACCTCCAGTTGAGCTTCTTTTGCCTGAATAACATCCTCTAATGTAGCAATTTGCTGGAAAATATTCTCATATTCTTTTTTGCTCCATTCTTCCAAAGCAACCTTTACTTTTTTCATCTTTGTCTGTACTTCTGTAAATTGAGACCCTACAAAATCAATCTTCCAATTATCCTCTACAATTTTCTTGAAATCTTTGTGTTTTGTCCAGAAATTCAAAAATTTGAAAGGTTTAATTAGTGGTTCACTTTCTGTGTTGCATTTAACCAGTAAAGGTGCATGATCTGACCCTTGTCTCAGTAGATGTGCTACTTCTGAAGCTGAGAGTAGCTCAAAAAACTTTTGATTGCCCATTACTCTGTCCAATCTTTCAAATATGCAAGCCTTCCATATTCTTCCATTCCACCATGTATATTTACTTCATGTGAACTTTAACTCTTCAAGGGCACAACTATTCAAACATTGCTCAAAATCAATAGTCTCTAAATTTGACACTGGTAACCCCCCCAACTTTTCCTCTTCATTTCGTATCACATTAAAATCCCCACTTACCACCCAAGGCAAGTGATTGCCTTCAACAACATTCTCCAAATCTTCCCATAATTCAAGTCTTTCTATTACACTGCACCTAACATAAATTGTTGTCATTAGTATCTGCTTTTAACTGCCAGTGTGAGTAAATCTCATAGTAATTTGTTGGATAGTGTCTGATATGATGTGTCCCTCCCACTCTTCATGCCAGAATATCCATATTTTTTAAGAACAGTTAACTAGGGCATTTCTTAGTCTTATTCTCCTCCTGTAACTCTCTACTTCTGATGGATTTTGAAATGGATCAAAGAGAGCAATATATGAAAAGTGATGTCTTCTGTTAAGATCTAGCAATCTCTCAAAAGCATTTTGAGTATTCACTAATCTTATATTCCAATATATGATGTTGTCTATCATAGATCACTAGATGTTTGTCTCTCCCTACTACTCCTTGTTTGTACCTATAAAGGTACTGTAATCCCTGGTTTTGCTCTTCTTAGTCCACTTCTCAGTTTGTCCAGCTGTCTGGGTGACAAATCACCCTTTTTGCCAATGCTTTTAATGTTTTCCTCCATTTCTTCATCCTCCTCCTTGTTCCTTATAACACTAATTTCCTCTGCATTTAGATCTTCTGGCATCTCATTCGTGTCTGCTACTGATTGAACTTCTTTGAAAGGAGTTAAAATCCATGCCACTGGTTCACCAGTTGGATTTATGCTTATACCCCCCTGCACTTCCACCAACTCTTCATGTGAATTCTTTATTTTATTAGTACTCTGAACATTTTTCCCTGCTTTTTGTTCATTGGTTTTGCTCCATTGCTCCCCATTGCTTTTTTCCCCACTTCTCCTTACTAATGATCTAACTTGTTCATAGGTGTTTTGATTTGAATCTTTCTAGTTGTTGTCTGTTTGTGATTGTTCTGATTGCATCTCTCTCTACTTCTTCCCCTTTATCTTTTTCCTGCCTGACATTGTCCTTTTTTTTTGTGTTTGCTTCACTTTGTCCTTCTTCCACATCTAGTGCAGTAAGTTAGTTCACAGTAGTCACAACACCTTCCTCTTGTGGCCTAATTTTTTTGTTCCACTGTTGTGTCACCCCTGTCCTTTTTTGTTGTACTCCCCTACCAAATCCATTTTTCAACCTATGCTCTTTGAATATCTGTTCATCATCATTCTGCTGGCCCTTGATGTCTATTTATTTTCTTTTATCATCTTATCTTCCCCCCTCAAGCACTTTGTCTTTATTATCTTTGTCCTCCTTGGGATATAATTCTGGATGCAAAATATAATAAGCCTTTTCATCATGTCCTTGCAATTTGCAAGTTGTACAATATTTAGGAATATAATCATATTTTATTGGCAAAAGTACTCATTACCCCCCTGAATTTGAAGCTTTTTATACGATGTACACCTTAACTAAATTCCATTTTAATTACCCCCTTGAACTTGTTTATTCCTCCGTCGCGTACACATTTATTGTCCGACCACTCCAATCGTGTCTACACGCGCATGACACCTAGATAAATATTAGCCACCTGGATAAATTTTAGCCACCTAGATAATTAAATGTCAAACTTTGTCACCTAGATTAAAACTTCCGGACTAATCTCTAAACCTCTCACTAAGCTCTAACTTTTGGTAAGAAGTGTAATCGACGGACGAACTTTTGGCTCTCTAAGAAGTGTAATCGACGGAGTAAAGGATAGATTTCGCGGATCTCTTTCTGGATTTGGGTTAGTTGCAGTTCTTAGATGTGAAGGCTTGCTCGATTTCGTGAAGTGTTTGGTCGATTGATCGATTTTCTTTCGATCTTGTCTGAAATTGTTACCAAGTAAGTGATTATCCACTTTTGTGATGTGTTATTGTTTGTTTCATTTATATTTTGCCCTATTTTTCGTTTAAAATTTTGCCGTAATTTGACTAGGGTTTCGCCATAGTTTCCGATTAGGGATTTTATAGTTTTCAACTAGAATTTTCACTTAATGAATGTATTATTATGAAGTCGTTCAGCTTATGCATGCATGAGTATTAGGGTTTCTGGTAATTAGTTCAAAAAATTAGGGTTTTTTAGTAAAATTAAGATTCTATGGTTTTTATTTCAATATTCTATTTTGGTATTGTTAAATGGTGGGGTATATTGTAATTTCCTTATGTATATTTGTATGATGTTGAGTAATATGGCTACTAAGTACCAATTATGTTTTTGTATTGTTTATTATAATTTCCTTGTATAATTGTATGCTTATGAGTTAAATTTGGTTTTGTTGCTTCTGCTTTGGTGTTATTGTATATTTTTTAGTGTTGTTGGTTCTGTTTTGATGTTGTTGCCTCTGTTTTGGTGTTATTGTATGTTTTTTGGTGTTGTTGCCTCTATCTTGTTGTTGTTGCCTATATTGAATGTTATTGGTGGTTATAGGTTGACACTATGGCTACTAAGTACCTCAATTTAAGGTTCAAATTTGGGGGTATCTTGGTGAGTGAGGTAGGTCCAATATATGTTGGGGGTAGGACTGAATATGTAGAGAATGTGGATGAAGATCATTTGTCAATTCCTGAACTTGCAGATTATGCTAAGTCTTTTGGGATTAGTAAGTTGGGGAAAACTTATGCTAAGTCTCTATGGGGTGATCTGGTGGAATTAAAAAATGACATGGACATTTGTAACATTGCATTATTTATGCATGATGGGGACACAATAGATATTTATGTGTGTGATGACACTATTTTAGAGGATGTGGGTCCCAGTGAAGGTCAAATTAGTCAATTTGTAAGTCAAGTGGTTGAGTCTTTTAATGCACATGGGGAATTTGATGGTTCTTTAACTGTACAGCCAAAAAAATCAAATCTAGGGTTAGGTTCCTCTTCTTCCTTTCCATCTAGTGAAAGAGTTGAGAATGATGGGGTTGCAAGGGTCCAATAAGAAACTGATACTGAAGAAGAAGGTGAACCTACTGTCCAATAAGGAACTGAACCTTCTATTCAAAAAGAAGTTGAACCAAGTGCCCAAGAAAATGCAGAGGAAGACATAGACAGTGATTTTATTTATTCTGACCAGTCTATTGACTATGGAAGTGATGTGCATGAGGAGTTGAGGATTGTTAAGGAAGATGTGAGAAAGTTTAAAGAAAGTAAGAGGAGAAAGAAGAGGGAAAAAACAAAAGGGTTTTTAGGTGAAGTTGGACTTGATGAAGGGTATGAGGATATTAAAAAAGGCAAAAAAAATTTCAAGGGTAAGCTAATAGAAGATGAGCCATACTATGACAGTTCTGATTGTGATAGTTTTCAAAGTGATGAAGAAGAACCTGTTTCTGATGATGAACTTGAATGAGGGAGTTTAAGGGGAAGAAAGAAGAGTAATAGAGTGATATATGATTCTACTTGTGATGTTGTAATATGGCAATGTTGTTTGGTATTTGAAAGTGTAAAGGAATTTAGAGAGGCAGTTACAAAATATGCTATAAAAAAAATGAGTTGAGTTAGACAAGTATGTGAATGAGAGTACTAGAGTAAGAGTCAAGTGTAAAAGTGGTTGTCCATGGCTGTTGTATGCAAGCAAGGAAGGGAGGAGTGAGAACTTCAATATCAAGACATACAACCCAAGGCACAGATGTACCAGGACCAATAATATTTTGTGTAATTCAAAAATTTTATGTAAGTATCTGAAAGATAGGATTATTTCTCAGCCTAGTATAAAAGGGTGGGAAATACAAGATTTGGTGAGGAAAGAGTTGAATGTTCATGTAGGCAAGGCAGTTTGCTTAAAAACAAGAAAAATTATTTTAAAGGAAATTATGGGGGATCATGTGGCAGAATTTAACAAAATCCTAGACTACAGGGATGTGTTACTCCAAACAAATCCTAATAACACTTGTGTTGTGAAGCTTAAAGATTCAGAATCAGAAAATGGGATGAAACAGTTTCACTCATTTTATATATGTTTTGATGCTATGAAAAATGGTTTCCAACAAGGATGCAGAAGATGTATAGGGGTAGATGGGTGTTTTCTAAAAGGAATTTGTAAGGGTCAACTTTTGGTAGCTGTTGCTAAGGATGCAAACAACCAAATGTATCCAATAGCATGGGCAGTAATTGGTACTGAAAACAAGTAGACATGGAAATGGTTCATGACCATTCTGCAAAATGATCTTAATCTAGGAAATGGTTCCCAGCTCACTATCATTAGTGATATGCAAAAGGTAATTGAATTTCTTTTTTTTTATCTTTAATTTAATTTGATCAAAATTTAACTATCTTTCTTATTTTGCTTTGCAACTACAAGGACTAATAGCTGTTGTAGATGAACTATTTCCAGAATGTGTGCTAGACACATATTAGCAAATTGGTCACAAAACTTCAGAGGCATAGAGAGAAGGAAGAAATTTTGGGCTTGTGCTAGATCAACATTTGAGGCACAATTTAAGTACAATATAAATGTACTATCTAAGTTGGGAAAAGGTATAGTTGAAGCCCTTATCAAATATAATAAGGAGAAATGGTGCAAAGCTTTTTTCTAAAAATTTTCAAAATGTGATAGTATAGATAACAACATGGCAGAGAGTTTCAATGCTTGGATCTTGGGACCTAGGAACAAGACTATTGTAACTATGTTGGAAGAAATTAGAGTTAAGGTGATGAGTAGGGTGAGTAAGTCAAGAGCATTTGCTGAAATATGGACAGATGGAATATCTCCAATGGCAATGATGGTATTCAATACCAATGTAACAAGATCAATGCAGTGCAACATTGAATGGAATGGTGATGATGGATTTGAAGTGTTAGAAGGGGTATATAAGCATACTGTGAACTTGGGTCAACAGAAAT